AAGAGTGGGCAAATACAAAGGTAAACTAGGGGTATGTTTTGGTTTTGTCTGAAGAGTAATGTTTTCCCTGCTTCTCTAAGAATCTTCCATTCCAATGCTTTGTAGTCTGTGCACCAGTTTGCTCTGTATTTAGAGCAAGTTTTCATTTCCTTTGCATGTTTTTTTTTATAAATACCCCTACAAAGTCCACCAAAACTCCTGAATGGCTCCTGTTTACTGGCTGCGTGCACTTGTTGGCAGTGTTGGTGTTTTTGAGAGGAGAAAATGACTGTTAGAACAAAAGATAATAAATATTTGTGTGTTAAGAAGAAAATGTGAGGGTGGAGAATGGAAGCTTTGACTCTGCATGCACAGGAGAGCCCTGCACTTGTTCTGTCTTGTAACTTAGTGCCTTTTCATTTCTGTACTCACTCAAATGATTTAGGTATAATTTAATGTGGTGACTTTATCGTAGGTGTTCTTAGCTTAGTAACTCAAACACAACCTTGGGGGATCTGATTTCATTGAGAAGAATTAGGTGGGTTTTGTTATTGGTCATTGAAGTGTGTTACAGAAATGTTCTGAAAACACTTCTTACAGAGAAGACTTTTCACAGGGCATAAAATTGAATACTAGTCAGTTTCATTCAGCTCTCCAGCCAAGGTTTTGGAACGACAGATGGCCAGAAAACCATCAGATCTTTCCTTATATGTGTGTCCTCAGGTTCACATGGATGAGAGCATTCCTATAGGCCTGTATCCATCCCTCTGGTTGAGCCATGGCACTACCCTGCCTTGTGGTGGGTGAGGAAGGGATGTGTCTGTCCCTGCCCAGCAGCTCCTGATCCTTCCTTTGTGCTTGTCTGACTGGTTAATTTCCCTTTCCCATATACATCCAACATCTGTTGGGCTGGGGACAGAGGGTAATTTGTTTCTCTGTTTTAATTTTTCCCCCTTTTGCTTTTTTGGGTTTGTATTTTGAAGCAAAATGCCAGGCCCCATTTGTTACCCTGGTAGCAGCTGTGGATTTGCTTGATCAGGGATAGAGAAGAGCTCAGCCCAGATGGTTCTCTGTGCACCATCTATTTGTTTTGACCACATGTGTCACAAATTGCCTTCTCCTAGCTTTGAGTTTCAGGTGAAAGAAGCAGATGTTGGAAAGATAGTTAAAGGTTAACTGGCTTGATTTCTTTGTTGGCATGACTGTGTTGTAAGAATTTGCTGCTGGTGGTTACTGAGCAGGGGAGAAGCTGTTGTTTATGGGGCTTTTAGGAGGAGAGAGAGGTAGTGGACAGAGACCATGAATAAGAATGAGCACTTTTGGGAGGGACTGATTCCACTCAGTGCCACCAGCAGACCCAGTTGTACAGGGCAGCCAGGAACTGGATTGGTGATGTTCACCTCTTCAGGCTAAATCCTCTCTGTACCTTCCCTCCCTGACTAGCAAGAACAGCCCCTCACCTCTGTCTAGCTGAGATTCCCATGGGAATCTGGGGCATGGTGGAGTGAAACCTGCTGCATTTGAGCAGTCTAGCTGTTTGCTGCATGAGCCAGTTAGGCACCTTCCTGAGGATGCAAGCCAGAAGAAAAATAAAGGAGGATTTCAAGGGGATGGCTTAGATGGAGAAAAAAAAATCAAGTGTGTGGAAAGGCTGAGGCAATGCTCAATCCAGAAAGTGCCTGTAAATCAAGACAGAGATATGCATATGTGTGTGACTGTGATTTTTAGCTTTCTCAAAGTTAAAATTAACTGTAGCTGTGTCACTTAAGGCAAATTCCCAGAGCCATTTCTGCCCCTTCCCTGCCTCCCTGCACACAGAGAAGAAAGAAGCTGCTAATGCTCAGATGTGAACAGTTGGTAGGGTGGCTGGTGAAGCTGTCTTAAGAAGCTTTTTGTATTAAACATGCCCATAAACAAAACAGTGAGACTGCCATAGGGATGAGATTAATGGGATTCATAATCCCTATAAACAGATTTGCTGAGCAGTGTATTAATGTGCAATTGTTAATTTGCCTTGCCTAATAAGTGGTCTGCACTTGCATCTCCATTTCTCTCACTGAGAACAGGTGTTGAGCAGCATATTTACTGGTCTTGCTGACTGATACTCAGAAAAGCCTCAGTAGTGTAAGAGTTCTCTCTTGTCCTTGCCTGAGCTGCAGAGACTGGGCCCCAGTGCCCAAGCAGTGTAGACAAGTGACAGCCAGAAGCAAAACTGGAAACATTTACACAAGGTCTAAAATATCTTCCAAAAATAATTTATTCTGTGTCAGGTTATGTTTTAAATGTGATTAGGGTTAAATGACCTCAATATTTTTTTTTGGTGGGTTTATTTTGTTAGGTGTGGTGGTGGTGTTTGGTGTTTTTTTTTGTCAGGGGGAGGGAGTGGTTTGTTGTGTGACCCCTTTAAAAACTGGGCAGCTCTTGGTGAGCAGATGCACCACCAAGCAGATGCAGTTTTTCTCAGAGCCGTCTCCAGCAGTGGCACAGGTCCAGTTGAACGACAGATCCTGCCAAGGACCATGAAACCTGGTTGCTGTCACAGCCTTTGTGTGAACCTTCTAGCTGCTGTATGGTCATGGTGCACTGTGTCTGTGGGAGAGGGAGCCAGGGAGAAGGGAAGTGGCAAGAGAGAATGCAAGTTTTGCTGCCTGCTCTTGCAGCTCTGAGAGAGTTAACTTGCCTACTCCCCATGTTCTCATCCCAACTAGCTGCTAGGTGAAAAATTAATTTCTAAACCTGGTGTACCAAGTTCACTGATTTATTTCTGGATTAATTCTGCCTGTCTAAATCCTAGGATTATGTATCACCTAGAACAACTGCTATGCTGTGAAATGGGCCTTGTGGAAGTCTAGGGAAGGGAGGATTTCATACCAGGAATTGAACGCCTGGTTTATTTGTTAGGCAGGCTGCTCTCACATTCCCAAAGCTGTTCCTCTGGAGACTGTCAGTGAGGATGGGTGTTCCTGGCAGTAGTAGGTCACTCTACTGGAACTGGGTGCAGTGGTTGACTTGTTGCTGGAGACAGTAAACAGCTGGCCTTTGGCCCAGTGTTTGTGAACCTCATCGCTCTCTGTTGGGAGCAGAGAAAAAGGTTGTGTTTTGTTTTGCTTGATTGTTGTTTTTTTCCTGGTTGTGCTTTCATGATCACCTAAATGCCAGCCACTTGGCTGTGGGAATCTTAAAATATCGTCTGTAAGACTGCACAAACAGGAGGTATTTGCAGCAAATTTTTGAGAAATATCAAGCTAGGAGCTTCATTACTTACTACTTTTTTTCTTTCTACCATATCTAAATCCCCTCTCTGCACCTCCCAAATTCCAGAGAATCCCAAAGGGATTCAAAGAGCAGATACCATACACCTGCTATGAAGTGTTGACTAGACAGTGCTGCTCTCTGAGGGTGTGAATGTCTCTGGAGCTCTTCAGACTGAGTGCTGGGCTTTTGCATCCAGCCCTTGCCCAAGCACAACAAATCCAGTGCTGAGTGCTTTTGGAAACACCTCCCTGCCTGCTCCTCGCGTGCAATTCCCTTGCAGCACTGAGTGGGATTTGGCAGGCTCCTG